CTTAGAGATGGACTAAATGCATTTTGCATAATGAGATGGACATGAGTTCCACCAGGGACAGAATGGTATGGTTTATATTTAAAATGGCCCCAAACATATCATCTTTTTATCCTTTCATCAGTTGAGAGGCATTTGGGCCATTTCCAAGATTAACCTATTACAAATTGTGCTGCTCTGAACGTGGGTGCACACATATCACTGTGGCATGGTGGGAGACACCAGGAAGGAGGGCGTCTGGGTCAAATGGAACCTCTAGCCCTAGCGTTTTGAAGAATTTCCACAGTGGTTGCACCACTGTGGGGTCTGCACTCCCACCAACAGTGAAGAAGGGTCCCTTTTTCCCCACAGGCCTGCCAGCATTTGTTATTAGTTGATTTTGTGAAAATAGCCATTCTCTCTGGAGTTAGATGGAATCTCAGGGTTGTTTTAATTTGCATCTCTCAAATGACCAGGGGTGTTGAACATTTTTTCATATATTTATGTACCATTTCTAATCATTTCTCTGAGAAGTGTGTATTCATCTCAGATACCCATTTTTAGCATAAGGTGTTTAATTTGAGGAAGTTGGTTGATTTTTTTCCAGTTCTATATCAGCCATAAAGAAAGATGAACTTGCAACATTTATATCTAAATGGAGACCATACTCTTAAGTGAGATAAATCGGACACACATGTTTAAATACTATATTGTTTCTCTGATGTGAGAAACTGAGGTGTAAAAATGAACCAAAATGTATAATAGATAAAGTGAAATAGGAAGAAAAAGTTCAAATGGGAAGGGGCACTAGGGAGGTAGGAAAAGGGAAAAAATGAGGAAAGCAAGATAAAATAGAAACACAGCTTTTATAAATAAGGAGGGGAAGAAGGGTTAAAGTTGGGGAGGGCAATGGGGGAAAAATAAGAATTAAGATATATCCTGTACAGGTACTAATCCCATATGATGAATGCGATCATTGTACACATCTAAATTGTACAAGTAAACTTTATTTTTTTAAAGTATCATCTTTTTTTACAAGATAACTAGGTCACAGGGGTGCTATACTCATCAGTACACTCACCCACTGATGAATTCGGGAGCTGAATATGCTTTTAGGAGGTGGGGCCTGGTTGGAGGTGGGTCCCGAGGATGCGATGATTAACTGCCACATGTCAACTTGACTTGAATATGAGCTACCTGGCAGATCAGTAAAATTCTGGGTGTGTCTGTGGGTGACTGATGTGTAGGAGAGAGAACCCACCTCGGATGTGGATGGCACCCATCATTAGGCTGTTCCTCGAATTGAATCAGAAAGGAAAAGAAGAAAGAAGTCTGTCCCTTTTTCAGGGGAGATCTGGCCTTTGACGTTGCCTTTGGACAATGGGATCCAGACTTGAAGCGCAGGTCCTTCAGTCTCCCAACAATGACTCCAGCTTCCCAGCACACGCTCACCTCTGTAAGTCTGTGATGAGTTTCCATGCCTTTGACTTCAACTGTTATTTGATCCTCCGGCCTCTCCACGCATAGACAGCCGTTCTGGACTCTTCTTTCTCTGATCTGGAAACAGCCACTGGGACTCTTCCAATTCTGATCTTGTAAGTCTCCGTCACAAATCACTTATACCAGTGGTGGCAAACCTAAGGCACGCATGCCACAGCAGGCCGTTATCACTGGAAGCTCTGAAAGGTTCGCCACCACTGGCTCATGCAATTGTATACATAGTGTACATTGAATCTGTTCTTCTGTTGAACCCTGACACATAGAGCTTGACCCGGATGTCCAAGCTCCTAGCTCTGCTTCCTGACTGCCATGAGCCAGGTACATTTGCCTCCACCATATCTCTCTGCCAACCTGCTTCTGCTGCAGCAGATAACTGCGGACTAAACCAGAATAAACCTCTCCTCCCGTAAGTTGTGGGTGTCACGTACTGTGTTTCAGTGACAGGAAAGTGACAAAAGCCCCTGCACCTGATGTATTGCTGATTTGTTCTAGACTGTGTCCTCAGCAAGTTTTATTTATTTGTTGCCCGTTCATAAGCATACAAATTATCCTTAACCCTGCCACCATAAACAAGACTTAAATTACTGTCTCTGGAGAGACCCATCTTGAAAATGTCATCTATTTTCACAACAGCAGAGACCATACAGTTTGTTAATTTCACTATGTATTTCCAGATTACTTTCCAAAACTACTGATTTTACATTTCCACGGGCAGAACGTAAGGGTTTCCATCTCCCCACATTCTCGCCAACCCTTAAAATTGTCCACCTTTTTAATGTTTGCCATTTTAGTTGGTATAAGGTGATGTCGTGTTACTGTTTCTACAATTACTAATGAGTCCAAGCCTTCCTCGAACACGTTAATCACACTTCTTCTTCAGTAGATATTATCTTCATACTCTTGGCCCACTTTTCTGCTGATTTTTATGTCTTTTTTTAATTTGCAGAAGTATTTTTTTTTTGCATGTCCCAGAACTGATTTTCAGTTATAGATGTAATTAACTCTCTCCATTCTGTTAACCATCCGGGCACTCTATGTATGTCGTGTGTGTGTGTGTGTGTGTGTGTGTGTGTGTGTGTACGTGTGTGACACTGGGGATTGAACCCAGGGACTTTACACTAGCTATATCCTCAGAACATTTTTATCTTTTGGGGACAGGGTCTTGTTAAGTCTCCCAAGCTCCCATTTTGACATAGCACCACCTCAGGGTCTTGTCGGCCAGAGAACCTGTGCCAGATGTGACTCCTTGACTTTGGGCCAGGACTACAGGCCAAAATAAATTTCTATCCGCCACAACTTACCCAGTCTGTAATATTTTGTTGTTAGTAACAGAAATTGACTGATTTCAGGACTCAGGGAAGCTCAGGCAGAAAGACCACGAATTCGGGCCTATCCTAGGCAACTTAGATTCTTGGTGAGACCCTATCTCAAAATAAAAAGTAAAAACTGGCTAGGGATGTAGCTCAGTGTGAAGGCCCTGGATTCAATTACACACACTACAAAGGTGAGGGAGTAGACTGAGACTGTATGCCTTTTTCATGTATTCTGGTTTTTTTATAGGATCTTAAATATGATGCTAAAAGCAGTGTCTTAGTCACTGTCCTCCTTGCTGGGGCACAAAACCCAACACCTTCAGTTTAAATGTTTTGACTCACAACTTTAGTGCACAGCCAGCTGGCTCTAAGGCAGAGAGTTGTGGAGGAAGGGTCTGGCGGAGGAAAACTGCTTACCCCATGGCAGCCAGGAAGCCAAGGGTGAAGGGAGGAGCCAGAGAAAGAGACAGGCCCTTCCAGAGCACACCCAGACGACCTTCCTCTTCCTAACTACAGAGATCTTCCTGTCTCAGCTGAGCACTGGGATCACAGGCGTGTGTATGCTCAGCTCCCTCCTAACCAAGTACTGGCAAAGATGAGGGGAAGCAGAAACTCTTGAACATTGCTAGGCGGAAAACAAAATGGTAAACTCCTTTGGGGTTTTTGTTTTTGAATTTTGTTTTGCTGTGGTTGTGTGTGTGTGTGTGTGTGTGTGTCTGTGTGTGTGCACACGCGCGTGCTGAGGATTAAACCGAGGGATTCCCACGTTAGTATTGGTTTTTATGCTAAATAGTGAAACACTTATCTACTCATAGGTCCTAGACATATACTTCTAGGTATTTACCTTCAAAAAAGCATAGATCCAGGGCCGGGGATTTAGCTCAGTGGTTACATCGCCTGCCTGGCAAGCCCAAGGACCCAAGTTTGATCCCTGGTATTAAAAAAAAATCATAAATCCACACAAAGATGTACATAAATGCTCATAATTGATTTTTTTAAAGGCACTTGGGATCAAGCCCAGGGCCACCTTATCACTGAGCTACATCCCCACCGCTTGTTTTGTTTTGAGCTAGGGTCTCACTAAGTTGTTCAGGCTGCCCTGGAACTTGCAATCCTCCTGCCTCAGCCTTCAGGAGCCGGGCTTACAGGCTGGGATTGCACCACTGTGCCCAGTTTAGCTTTATTCTTAAGAGCCAAAACACGGAAACAACCCAAGCATATAGCAACAGGTGACTGTATAAGCAACTGTGGTCCAGATGCACGATGGAATACTACTCAGCCATAAAAAAGAATGACAAGCACAAGGTCCCAACTTTGATACCCAGTACCAAAAATAAATAAGTAAAAAAATAAAAAATAAAAAGAATGAACTATTGATACTGGACGTTACATGAATGAATTGCAAAGTAATTACACTGAGAGAAAGAAGAGATTCAGAAAGCTAGATACGATGCCAATCATTTCTAGAAAACACAAATCAATCTAATGACAGAAAGGTGAGTGGCTGCCAGGGAAGGCAGTAAGGACATGAGACAGGGGACGTCCAAAGGGGCGTGGGGTGATAGGCACTGTTCTACGAGACCGTGGGGATAGTTTCGTGGATACGTCTGGTTTGTTCTCTCAAAAACCATCCCCAGGGGATGGGTTCCAGGATAAAACACCACAGACTCAAGTCCTCTATCATAACCTGACGCAGTGTTTGCACACAGCCCACACCCCTTCTCCCAAATAATTTGAGTCCCCTCTAGACTGCCTGTAACCTGACGCAATGCAAATACAATGCACACAATAGGTAGACTCCATTGTTTAGGGAATAGTGACAAAAGTCTGTCCTCGCTCAGGAAGGACACCACTTTAAACAATGGTTTTGAGGGCTTGGGGTGCAACTCAGAGATGGAGCACTTGCCTAGCAGATGCACGGCCCTGGTTTCCAACCTCAGTACCACACACACACGCAAATCTGCCATTAGTTTAATGCGAGAGTGGGGAGTCTGCAGATAGTCTCTCTTTTTGTTTTAAACAGGGTCTCCCTGCATAGCCCAGGCTGAGTCCACACCCGAGGGACTCGAGATCCACCAGGGCCCTGAATGACTTGTCCGGGTCCGGTGCATCTAGAAACGCCCCACCCCTGCCCGCCTCAGTCTGCAAGGGCCGAGCACCGTGATTGGTCCATGTACGGGCTCCTGTTGGGAGGGACTGTGGCCAAGGAAATGGGAGGGAAGGAAGAAAAGGAGAGGGCAGGGCCAGGGTGGGCCTGAAAATTAAATGCGGGTCTCTGCCCAGGCTGGATGCCAGAGGCACCATGGACACCACCAGATACAGCCAGTGGGAGAACAGCCCCGAGGAGGCCCCCGGAGGAGGTAACAGCGACAGGACTGCCTCCTGGACCCCCTCGATCCGGATCCAAGGAGGAAGAGGCAGGAGAAACAGCACAGCTGTGGACCCCTTTAGAGCGGGGTGGGCAGGCTGTCTGCCCCTACCCACCAGAAGGCGGCCTGAGGGCAGGCAAGATCCTCCGCCTCTCTGAACCTCAACCCAAGGCTCGGGCCACTGGTCATCTGTGTTCTCCTAGGGCTCTGGGGACGCTGGGACTACTTCCGGCAAAGAATTTTCCTCCTGGCCCTGGCTGTCCTGGCTGTCACAGTGCTGTGGGCTCTCATTCTGAGCATCCTCTTGTCCAAGGGTGAGTGACCCCTTCGTGGGGAGAGGCGTGATCGGCTCCTGCGGACTCGAGGCGCAACCAGTGCGCATCCCCTGGGCGAGGGGAGGGTTCCCGAGTCGCCTCCCACGCCGCCGCCGCTCCTATATGACCCTTGCTCTCTGCAGCCTCCACGGAGCGCAGGGCGCTGCTCGGCCACCAGGACCTGCTGAGGGCAAACGGTGCGTGCGGAAGGGACGGGGGGCGGAGTCCCGGCTGGTCCCGGACTGGGGGAAGTGGGCCCCGAGTCCCTTCCGGTGACCCGCACGCCCGCGGGGCGGCTGTCATTCCAGCTTCGCAGCAGGCGGTGGCGCTCGGTGCCTGGAAGCGGGAGGTCGGAGCCTGCAGGAGCTGCTGTGAGAACCGGCGGGGCGGGCTGTGGGCTCGCGGCCGCGGATTGGAAGAGGTCCGCGGGGCCGGGGCCCCCACCCCCACCCCACCTACTCTTCCCTCCTTTTTATTTTATTTCGCCCATGTTTGCAGTACTTAAGGACTACATTCCCGGTGGGGACTTGGTGCACGGACACAATGCACCTCGATTCTTTTTTCATCTCCTGCCCTTGTCCCGGCCCTCCCCCCGCCAGTTTGCAAAACGTTCGTCTCCCCGGTTCCTAGTCTTCAACCTCCAATGATCTTTGTGGGTTTCTGCCATCAGAAAGGATAAATCTGAGTCACTGGTAGGAAAACGGATGCACCTTGAGACCACGGTGCTAAGCGACAGTGTTCACCGACCCCTTCCTAGGCAACGCCACCAAGGTGGAGCTGCAGGCGGCTGTGGCCGAGCTGCGGGAGGCTCAGGTGAAGCTGCTGCAGCAGAAAAGCGCCCTGGAAGAACTGAGCCAGCGCGGTGAGGCTCGGACTTGACCTTGGACCCCAACAGCCGTGACCCCGACTCTGCCCTGCGACCCCTCCCGGAATCTGACCCTCCTACAGCTCCAGCTCCTCCCCCTCCCCGCCACACCTGTAACGCACCCGGTTCTAACTCACGTCCTACTCGACCCCTGACATCCGATGCCAGCTAACCGAGGGCTTGGATTTCGACCTTCACTTAGCAGAGTCGTGACTGCCCCTGACCCCAACTCTAGCTAAAGTCTGCGCTGCCCTGACTCTGCAGTGACCCGGGACTTGGCCACGGCGGGCCGGGACCGCGAGAACATCCGAAATGAGTTGTTCCGGGAGCTGGAGAACGTCAAGTTCCAGAACAGTGAGAAGTCAGGGAGGAGGGGAGCCTGCCTGGGGCGGCCTCTCGGGTCCCGTCCATCAAACCTCGCCTGGCCCCGGCTCCAGCCCTGTGCCCGGGGACCCAACACGGCCCATCTCCGCTCTCCCAGCCCCACCTGGGGAAGCTCACTTCGCTGACCCCCCCGCTGCCACCCACAGGCTCCTGCGAGCAGTGTCCCACGTCGTGGCTGCCCTTTCGGGGCTCCTGCTACTATTTCTCCGAGCCACGAGCCACTTGGCAGGAGGCGCAGCGCAACTGCGCGGTCAACGACGCGCACCTGGTGATCATAGACAACCTGGACAAGCAGGTGCGCTGCCGGCAGGGCGCGGCAGAGGGCGCGGGCTCCTGTGCGCGGGCTCACACGGTCCCTTTCAGGGCTTCGTGACTCGGCACACACGAGGCCGCGGCTACTGGCTGGGCCTGAGGGGTATCCGCAACGCGGGCCGGATCCAGAACTACCAATGGGTTGACGGACTCCCTCTGGGCTTCAGGTAAGGAACGGGCTGCTGTGAGATTTGGGGAGGGTGACAAGTTAGACCTCGGGGAAGTGTGTTTCAGGGACATCCTTGGCTCTGGCTAGTCTGAGGGGGTGGGAAAGCTGAACTTCAGGAACTGGCTAAGGGTACCTTAAAAAGTGCCCATCAGCAGATGAATGGATAAGGAAAAGGTGGTGTTTACTCGGCCATAAAGAAAAACTTGAGTCATCTGCAGAAAAATGGATGCACCTTGTGACCATCATGTTAAATGAAATAAATCAGACACACACGCTTGAATATCATATGGTTTCTCTTCTGTGAGAAACCCAGAAATACAAATAAAGAGCAACATAAAAGATAGATCATTGGCCAGGGATTTAGCTCAGTGGTTCCGCCGCCTGCCTCGCAAGCGCAAGGTCCCAAGTTCGAAACAGGAAAGGGATCAAGAGATGAAGGGAAGCCGGGTGTGGTGGCGCCCGTCTGTAATCCCAGCACTTGGGAGGCTGAGGCAGGAGAATCGCTGTGAGTCCAAGACCAGCCTGGGCTACATAGCGAGTTCCAGGTCAGTCTCAACTGCATAGTGAGACCCTGTCTCAAACAAGAGAGGGGGGGATGAAGGGAAAGGGGGTGAAAAAAGGACAAGGTGTGTCATGTCCATGCTCCAACTCCTCACAAGGACTGTAAACACGATGCATTGCGAACACGAACTGATAGGAAGAAAGCTATCTATTCCCGGGTGCGTGCGCACGTTAGACAGCCAAGGGTGGGGCAGATCCAAAGCACCAACAGGCTAGACCCTAGGAGGGAAGGCTGGACTCCCAGCCACGCCCCCATTCAATCACTGCAGCCACTGGAATTCGGGGGAGCCCAATGACTCTCGGGGCCAAGAGGACTGTGTCATGATGCTTCACTCGGGGCTGTGGAACGACGCGCCTTGCGGCAGCGAGCGGGACGGCTGGATCTGCGAGAAGAGGCAGCGCTGCTGAGCTGGCCCCGCTACGCCACGCCAGCCGCAGGGCGAGTTCGGGAAGCTGCGCGTGCGCCGGGAGCGCACAACGGGACCTTTCTCCCTCCGCCGCTGCTGCGCAACCCTTCCCTGTCTAGCGCCTGCGCAGAGACCTCTGCTCAGCCTCACCGTAACGCCCTACATTCCGACCTGACCAAATTTCCACCAGCTGTAAATCCTTGCTCCTGCACCTGTCCATCCTATTTCACCTCTCTTCCTAGACGCCAAGAACAAACTTGAGAGATGGGGCTGCTTATTTTCCTGCATTTCTGAAGCATTAATAAACGTTTGAGACGTGAGTCTGAGCTCCTGGCTCCGCAGATATGTTCTGGGGCTTTATCCTAGAGACTCTGCTCTGCTTCCCGGAAGTGATTCCTGACCTCGGCAGGTAACCACGTGTCCAGGAGGACCGGAAGGCAGCAGCACGTTCCCACCCTGCACCATTTCCTCTCGGCGCCTAGAACACAGCTTAGTCCCAGTGGGATGGGGACACAGGAATTGGCCATACCCAGTCCTCACACTGGGGGCCTCTCCGCTCAGGTGTAAGAGGGCACAGGAACCATCTGACCAGTGGTTTAGCGGAGAAATGCAGGAAGGAGTGAGGCGGGCATTTGTGGGAGCCATCCTTATCTTTGGAAAGAGGCAGTATGAGGAGGGAGAAGCCCGTCACCTGCTACGGAGAGGGCGGGCCACGGGGCTACCCCGATTCGGTGAGCCCACTGCACCCGGTTCCCATGACCACGGGGTGGGACGATCAGGAACGCATCTCAGGAGGATGGATGTGGTTGAACTCACAAAGGAGTTCGGGTGACACAGAGCCTGGCTCTAACAACTGGGGACTTTTGATCTGAATTCACCCTGTACTCCCAAACTTTCTTGCTTCCGAGCTGGGGACCTGGGGGCTCTCTGAGAATTTCCAATGGAGACAGGTCCGACCGAGGAGAGGGCAGGCCAGCAGATGGGAGCTCCAGGCTGAAAGGCTGCTTGGAGACCCCAGGCTGCCTGGGTAGGAGGGCACGAAACCGGGAGAGAGAACACCACGCCAGATACAGAACGGGTCCGTAACCCCGTAAGCCACCCACCCCGGCCCTTGCTGGTCAGTCCCAACCCGGAGCCCTGCCCCAGACCACCACTAATGTGCTAATCACTGTCCATTTCACTTGCCTTTTGCCAATTTTCACATATATGAAACTATATAGGACGTAGTTTTGTGGGGTTTGTCTCTGGGTTCTTTCAGCATTCGCCTATGCTGTGCTGTGAATCAGTCATCTACTCCTTTTTATGACTAAGTCATGCTCCACTATGTGGCTAGACCACAGGTCACCCATTCACCTGTTCTCTCCTGCCCCCGAGTCACAATATCCAACACCCACAAGGCAGGAGGAGGATGGCGCAGGGGCGCAGTGGGGAAAAACTTCTCGGCCGTGGCAGCCAGGACACAGAAAGGAGAGGGAGGAGTTGGGGACAAGAATGTACCTTTCCAGCTCACATTCCCTGTGACCACCTCCAACCAGGGCCCACCTGCAGCGAGTCCGCCACTGCACCCCCGTGATCCAAACACATAAGGCATTTGGGGGACATTTTACATCTGAACCCTAAGACCTGCTGATGACGCTTGGGTTGTTTCCGATACAAGTTGAGCTTCTATGCAAATCCTTGTATGATGCTTTAGTCTGTTTTATGTTTCTACAAACAAAATACCCAAGACTCAGTCATTCATAAAGAACAAAAGTTTGGTTTGCTCGTGGTTCTGGAGGCTGGGAAGGTCCCGGAGCATGGTGCAACCCTGTGATAAAGACTTTGACTGCAGGAATTAGTTCATTTTTTTGTTTTTAATTCCTGAAACAGAATGCCTGAGGCTGAGTCCTTTATCAGCAGGTTTATTTAGCTTACTGTTTGGGAGGCTCAAAGTCCAAAGAGCTCCTCACTGGCTCTTGTAAGGCCCCCTGACTGACGGGCACTATCACGGCAGGCAGCCTCAGGGCAGAAGACTACACAAGAGGAAGGGATCAGGAGGGGAGACGGGAAGTCAGAAAAAGTGGGGAGGGGCTGGTCTTGCTGCGTTATAACAATGCTCTTGTGAGAACCGGGATCTAACCAGGATCTCATGACAACCACCTTTATCTCCTTCAAAGGCAGCATCCCCATTGGCCACCCACTGTGCTCCTACTCCTCCTAAATCTCTTCCACACCAGGGACCAGGCTTCCAACACAAGAATCTCTGCTGGACACATTCAGCCCATATCCAACCCTGTCCCAGTTGTTTCTTGACCTTTTGGCTAAGATCAAGTGTGAAACCCTGTCCTAACATGCAGGAGGACAAGGTGTGGACAGACACAGCAAGAATGCCAGCAGGGGCCTCCCTTTCTCTGGTGAAAACGCCACTAGGGACATCATGGAAGATTCCTCGTGGCTTCATCTAACCCTGATCACACCCCACTAGAGTCCTCACCTGCAGATGCCATCCACATAGAGTATGCTGATTAAATTGCTAGTATGCGGACTTTTAGGCAACACCACGCAAGCACAGCTCATGGATTTCATAAGTTTTCACTTCCTTTTGGTGAATGTGTGGGCGCGAGTCACATAATACATGAACATTTAACTTTTTGGGAAGCCGCCACCATTTCCCAAAGTGGTTTCGCCATCCTCCACTCCTGCCAGCCATACGTAGAAGTTCTGTTTGGTCAGTATCTTCGCTACCTTTCTCATGGCTGGGACAAAATAGCCGGCACCGACAAGTCAAAGGAGGAGAGGCTTGCTTATTTTGGCTCATGGATTCTAGAGGTATCAGTCCATAGCCGGTCGTATCCAAGGTAGGGCAGCATGACGGAGGAGAGAGAGATCGTCATGCATGGGGGTGAAAGGAAGAGAGGCGGTCGGGGAGGACGAGAGGTGGACCCTTCCAGGCCACGCCCCCAGTGACCACCCCTCCAACCGCGCTCCACCTCCCACATCTCATTCAGCGACCCAGTCACCACCCTAAAGCCCGCGTCTGAGTACATGAGGGTCTGGGGGTACATCTAGATAGAACCCGTAACAGGGAGGGAGGGAGGGCGTCTTCTGACCCTGGAGAGACTTTAGCACTTCCAGAGTTCGGGGGCGCGGATGGAAGACCCTGAACAGAGACAAAGGTGAGAATCGGTGCGTGCCCCCCACAAGGGGCTAGGCAGATGGGGGAAGACAGGGGCTCCCGCTGATCGAGGAGGAGACCGGCCAACCCAGGGGTGAGGATGGAGCAGTCTCCCACGAACAAGGGCTAGTTTTATTTGAGAAAAGATTTTAAATACCACGACAATTAGGCCCCCAAATTCTTCAGCCTCGGTGAAACGTGAAGCATGAGACCAAAGTTGCCTAGATCATTTGGACCCAGCAAGGCAGTTTCTCCAGATTCCCTAGTGCCACGAACATAAGAATCGTCCTACTGGAGCCATTTCCTGGTTATGACAATTCTTATCTGAAAGCTTTTTATCATAAGGAGCTGAAGACCAATCAACATCTGGTGCCGTTCCTCACTGGTGAGAGCTGGGTGTGAAACCAAGTGGCTCATGCATGCTAGGCGAGTTCTGTACCACTGAGCAACATCCCCATCCCTTCTTCTTTTATACTCTATAAAAACCCAGTCCCCTTGGACACCAGGTTAGAAACAGTAGCCGCGTTAGTCCACTTTCCACTGTAGTGAACAGACACCTGAGAAAATCAACCTCACGTAGGAAAGAGTCTCACCGGCTTATAGTTTCAGAAGTTCAGTCCATGGTCCCTTGTCTCTTTGCTTGGGGCCTGAGACAAACCCAAACAGCATGTCGGACGGCATCTGTGGAGAACAGCTGCTCATCTACTGAGACAGGAAGTGAAGAGAGACAGAGGAGGAAGAGGAGGAGGAGGAGGAGGAGGAAGGCTCAGGGGACAAAATATCCCCTTCCAAAGCATGCACCTGGTGACTCTTCCAACAAGACCCCAGCCCCTAAAGTTTATGCCACAACACATAAAGCTCTGGGCGATGTTTCCAAGCCAAACTATAACAGTTACTCTTGGCACCTGGAACTCCTGCTTTCTCTCCAGGTGGCTAGCCTCATGTTGGTTCAAGTAAACCTGCAACTTATTTCGCTTTTTGGTGTTTTTTCATTTTTGGTTTTGCAACTTACTTTGAAATGCCAAGAAGTACTAAGATGGGTCGAGGGGCAGGTAGAGGAGTGGATGGATGGGTAAATAAAGCTATGTAATAGCAATTATAGAAACACTAACTGAAGAATCTTAGCGGGCAATCAGAATGACTATCATCAAGGGCTCAAAAGGGCCAGGGATTTAGCTCAGGGGCGCTGCTGCCTGTCTCATAAGCGCAAGGCTCTGAGTTCAATCCCCAGGGTCCCTCCAAAAAAAAAAAAATAGAATTCAAAAAGCAATAAACTCTGGTGAGGACTCAGGTGGAAAGGAGCTCTTCCACTGTGCTGAAGGGAATATCAGTCAGCACCGCCATTGTGGGGACCTCTCTGCAGGCTCCTCAAAGATCTAAAATTAGAGATGCCCTGTGATCTAGCAGCGTCGTTCCTCGGCATGTGCCTGCAGGAATTAAAATCAGCATTTTCTAGGGTTATCTGCTGTGGTGCAATTCACAACAGCCAAGAAATAGAACCGGCCGAGGTGCCCATCAACACACAGCTGGGTAAAGGAAATGTGTTTATGTGTCCTAAGGTGTTATTCTACCATAAAGAACAAAATTACACCCTTTGCAGGGAAGTGGACAGAACCAGAGGTCATCGTGTTAAGCAAAATAAAACACACTCAGCAGGATAAGCATCACGTTTTCCCTAACACGTGGAATCAGAGACTATTATTAGACAAGGAAAAGGGGATGGGAGGCCATAGGGTAAGGAGGGGGTGGATATGACGAAAAAATACCCATGTATAAAAGTATCACATTAAAATCCAATCGTTTGTAAAATCAAGACGTGCTAATAAAAATATTTTTTAAAAAGTATCTCGGTACGGGTCGTCCGCTCCAGAACCAACTTTTTCTGACTACTTGGGAGCTGTGCTAGTGAAACGCCGGGGCTTGGGTGGTGGCCGTTGCCCCCCTGGGGGTGCCTGTGTGATGGGTGAGGTGTGGGAAATTCCCTGCACGACTCCCCAGGACTGGGGCGTGGAGGGAAAGGAGGGGCTCCTCAGAGAGGCTGGGAACAGGGCTGGAGGTCCGGAGAGGCCCCTTCCCGCTGCCCCCTGTCTTGCAGTGGTGACCCCAATGGCCCACAGAGTGACCGCGTGGCCACCCCCCCTTGGGCTGAGTCAGCAAATCATGGAGAACTTGGAGCCCAGCACGGGTTTCCTGGCTGCACAGGCCTCGCTGTCACCCCAGTTTCCAGGAAAATGGCCTGGAGATAGAACAGCCTGACCTTGCCCATCTCCCACCTCTCTCCTCCCGATCCCAGGAAACCCCCTCGCATCCCGAGATCTTCTTCTTGGGAAGGCTGAGGTTTCTGGGGAAGGCCCTGGGGCCTCTCCAAAGCAGGCACAGCCCTGGGCAGCCCAGTCCCCCAG